TATGGAATAGTTCTATAATGACGGCATAGAATTAGTAAGGGCTTGAGTGCCTTTCATACAAATGACAGCTTGGACTGCTTCTTAGCAAGCTGCAAAAGAAAGTTATTTCCATTATTTTCCTGGAAAACTAAAATACCGATTACGCTTTACACATGCTTCCAGGGAATCCCTAAGGACTTCAGTTCACAGCTTGTTTTCATGAGTTACATGAGTTACTGAAATTTAGGTAGCAAACTGACATACAATCAACATAAATTGGTTTTCGTCATTGAAATGCTGAACAATCCAATATCTTTTTTCTCATCAAAGTCATGTTGAATAAAAATAGTGAAACTGCTTTGCTTATTTTACAATGTTAGACAATCAACACACTTTCTACTTGGCTATTATAGGCCATTATAGTCTCTAAATTAGAAAATAAATAGATAGTTTACCAAAAAATGAGACGTCACAATTTTGTTCCCAAACCTGTATGAAAATGATCCTTCTGTGGAACACAAAAACAGGTGTAATATAGCATGTTTAAAGACTGACAGCCTCAGCTTTCACTTCACATCATCCCATATGTTTTTCTATTAAATAAATAAATGAGAGAGACTGAATAGTCGGTCTGCTTTTGTGTTCCACAAAATAAAGACATGCATGTGAGGATCAACATTAGTCATTCTAAACACAACAGACTCACATAAACATGTGGCTTGTTGCTAGGAGACGTGTGACACATGAAAACAATGTGTTCTAAATCCCTGACTGGATGCAATCATGGTCTGAATTTTAAAAATCACTACTGTGAGGGTGTTCAATCCGGCTCCTACCTTCCAGCAGAGCTTAGCTTCAACCCTTATTAAACACAGCTAATCTGTCATGTCTGTTTAAGGTTTTGGTTTTGCTTATATTTCAAGTCTTCTGTTTTGAGGTTTAGTCACAGCCTTGTTTCTAGTTTGTCATGTGTTTCCCATGCCCTCATGTGATCTTCCCCTGTTCATGTGTCATGTTTTAGTTGTCATAGTAATATGTTGTCTAATTGTTGTGTATTGAAGTACGTAATGCTTTTTTGATGTTTCACATTTCAGGTTATGTTTATCAGTCAAGTTACGTTCTTAGTTCATGTTTAGGTTTTTGTTTCATGTTTATCTCATGTTTCAAGTTTTTGGATAATCAACTTACTAAACTGAAGTAATAAACTGCACCTGGGTCTTCTACACCATTAGCCCCTTTCACACATACAGATTTTACTGGTAAATTACTGTTAAGAGATCATGTGAGAACAGGACCTTTTCAGAAAAACATTGGCAGAATGAATTTACCGGTATGAGACGTTGTAACACTACCAGAAAATTGCCGGAATGATGCTGTGTGTGAACGCAGAATGAAGATTACCGGTATGAGCATGTACAAGTTAAGAACGCTCTGAAGAGACCACAATAACGTGATATTTAGCCCCTGGATTGTGAATTTTGCCAGAGGAACCCTGACAAAAAAACATGTATTTTACCCCCCGGAACGTGATTTTTACTGGGGAACCGCCATTGGGCTAGTTTTGGGCTAATTTTGAGTAGCAGTTGTGCGGGTTTTGTGAAAACCTGGTAACCCTGGGCGCAGCCGTTTAGAGCTCATTTCTGGTAAATGATGTCACAGAATTTACCGGTATTTTGAAACCGATGTGTGAACAGTGCTTTACTGTTAAAACGACTGAATGTCACTGCCTGTGTGAACAGCACATTTTTAAATTCGTTCCTGGAATTTTTACGTCAATTTACTGGTAATACTGTGTGAAAGGGGCTATTGTCTTCATGTGCTTCCATGTCAGCAGAATACAGAATACACGACTAACCATGGACCAGTTGCTCTGTTATGGCTTTGCCAGGGGGATCGTGACCTCCGCCGTGGTCTCCTGCTTCTCCACGGCCCCAGGGCTCCTCTGCTCCATGGTCCAGGTCATGATCCTCCTCCGCTTCATGGATCTGGGGTCTCATTTATAAAATGTTGCGTATAAACTGTCCTAAATTTGTTCTAAGATCATTTCTCAAAAGTGCATAAGTGCGATTCAGAGAAAACGAACGTACCCACAAAAACACGTGCGTATGCCTGTCTTCCAGATGTGACATTTATAAATCGCAAATGATCTTGAAATTGTGCGCAGCTGACTGGTGTCAGATCTCCGCCTTGTAAACGCCCCCTATTTAATATCATTACCATATAAAAGAGCACACGCCAATATCAGAATTTCTATGCTTGAGAATGACTTTGACTGAGTCTGAAATTGAGGTCCTGCTGGTGGAGGTAAAGGTTCGTGTGTGGACGCTTTTTATTTAACAATGTGTAATTATTCTGTGGACAAACAATGTGTGTGTGGTTATATTTTTTCTATTGACTATTATCAAAATTACTACGTCTAGAAACAACAGAAATAATAATAATAATAATAATAATAATAATAGTAGTAATTATAAAACAATTAGGTTTCCAAAAGTAAGAAAACTACTACTCATCTTATAAAGTGAGCCATCCTACTTTTAAAATCGCTTGCTATTACAACTAATAAAAAGTTTAGTATCACGAAATTCTTGCAAAACTGTAAAAAACATTATTGAAATATCAATAATTAAATAAATTATTACACGATTAAGGTCTGAAAAAACCTGCATGTGATTTGGCATTTCTTTATATTTACACAGTTTACTAATGCTGCTCAAATGTGCCATTAATGTACTGACACAAAAATATATAGTGTAGGCTATTTTATACAAATATAACTAATGTAAATGACAAAAACAAAGTTTAAGGCTGATGTCTCTATTCATTTTCACAGAAGCAAAGCAGCAGATGTTATAAATAAAAACAGTTAACAATGTTATTCAATAGAATATATTAAAACCGTTATTACACAACATAGGCCTATTATGATAGACCACACAGACAAAACAGTCGGAGATGCGTTTATGCATTTTTTTTTTTTCTATTTTATGCATTAGTCGTAAATCAAGACTTCGCAAGTTCTCTTGTAAAATTAAATAATAATAAAAACGCATGGAATAAACTGTGTACAGAAAGCGAGTAAAGAACTCTCAACATTAGGCTACTAAAAAGGTCAGTTTAATTTCGCAAAAACTCCCGTTAATAAAAAATCTGACTACACTGCACAATTATCTCTTACACTGCATCTTGTTTATGATGAATTCGGTGCTTGCACGTACCCCACTTTAATTATTATTGCAGCTTAGATGTTCAAATAGCTGCAGTACTCCGACTTTGCCACAAGGAGAAGTGCGTATGCCTGCTCAGACCCTGATGTGGCGGTAAGTACTTTTCCACGTCAAAGACCGTTTTTATAAATATGAACTTTGCCGTGGATTTTAGCGTACACACACTCTAAGATCAAATCTGTCCGTATGCACATTTTATAAATTAGGCCCCTGGCCTTCCAATCCTCCCCTGGTCCTCCTCTGTTCCTCCACCCTCATGTGCTTCCCGAGTTCAAGTGTCATGTTCTCTTTGCTTATCATTGTCATATGTTCCCTTTTGTCATGTGTTTAAGCTCTCATGTTTGCCTTGTCTAGTTGTTGTGTATTGAAGTGTAGGGTTGCAGGGATGCTGGAGTCTAACCAGACAGAGTTTGTAAATGCATGGATATAAATTTTATATTTTACATCATTTATCTCAGTGTCTCCCCCACCTGTGGCCCAAGACACTGGGATAAATGATGTAAAATATAAAATTTATATCCATGCATTTACAAACTCTGTCTGCTTAGATACAAAGGTGGAAAACTTTAATCAATGTAACATACAGGGAAAGACTTTACCATTCAGAACTGTGATGTGGCTCTGTTGAGAGTTCCTCTCTAGTTTTTACTTTTTAGGACTGTTAGTTGATGAACACAATACATATTGTTTTGTGTGAATGCAGCTGATCTGGAATTTGTTGAAATATAAAGCTTTTGAAGCTGTGCATAGAGAATGTCAATATGGGAATGTTTAAATATACAGATCCAAGAAGAAGAGAAATTTTTGATCAGAAAACATGAAATAAACCTTTGACCTCCCTAACAGTGACTTAATCAAAGTCATAAGATGGCAGCATAGCTTAAATAGATTCTAGTAGAATGTCACGATTTTCAAAAACGGAGCTGACAGATACTGAAACACCACTGTAATAAAGTGTTACACGTGAAATTGTCAGAAATGTAGCAAAATTAATGAAAATGGATAAGAAAGAATAAACTCGCATGCACCCCTCAAATTAACCATCACTGGCAATGGCTTTTACACAGAAGGTAGTCCCAACATAATTACTCCTTTTCTTAAAGGAGTGACATCCACTGTTAACAAAACCAATTCATTTTATTAAACACATATTTTATTTTCTTAAAATACATTAATAATAAATTATTTTATAAAACATTTAATTTAATTGTTTGTTAAATCCAATCTTTACATTGTAACTATGCTAACTGTGAAATACACATAAATAAATATAAATATAAATATAAATAAATGAAATCACATCCCATAATACCCCTGTGATGTATGCTGAGAACATGCAGATTTGGTTACACGTGAAAACGTACTTAAATATATATTTAAAAAAATAAAAAAGTACATTTTAAGAGTTTGTTTTCGCCCTCACAATACATATAGGCTATGCAAACATTTGATGATTTATTAGTAGGACTGTTTAACGTTTTATTTAAACTTTTGGAAAGTTTAGGAACGCCACGGCAAATGAAGAATGACCCGTTTGCAAGGTTTGTTTATTTATTTGTTTGTTAACAATTTAGATGTATGCTTTCAAGTGGATGAATATTTTGGTGGGGCACTTACCCACCTGTCCCTACAGAGGAACAGCGGCAGCCCTTAATTAACAGCCCATGGTCGAATATTAATATTAATGAAGTTGACAGAACTAACATTGGTGACGTTCTATGCTCGTTTCGACATTCCCTCAACAGAAATGGGATGTGTGGGAGTGTTTTCAGACAGCAGCGGTGTTATGGGGGATGTAATGTGCACCGCGCCCTGGAGACTCAGGTATCCGCAGGGCTGCGCTCCATCGCTTCCTTGTTTGGACGCGTATAGCGGGCGGCGCTTTGGGTGTGGATCTATAAATCTAGCGGATCACTGCAGTCTGACGAGAGTCTAACGGTCCTCTGCTTCAACTCAGCTCACAAACATCAGGAAACATGAACAAAATCTTTCTCGGAATCTTTGCAGTTGCGCTTTATTTCGCAGTGGGTAAGATACAGATTTTGTATTATTTTCCTTCGTGTCAAAGCCTACTAAACGATATTTAATTAGTTCACACTGTGAATGTAACTTCGAATAGCAACTAGAATTGTAGATAATTTGTAACTGTAGATTATTTGTTGCTTATTTCTGGTTGGCTTATTTGTGTGATGAATGAGCTACTTTCATTGCACATTATTCCAGTCATTGTGGGACATAGGGATGTGAGTCAAGAACATATTAAATTTAGAAGTCTGTGGTTTATGAGTCATTCTCCTATGAGTATTAAAGTATTGCTTCTAATGATTTGGGTCTTCATCAAGCTTCTGAAAAGGAACATTCTGGATTTTGAGAACTTCTTTTTCTTCTTAATGATGCAGTAATGTAACTTGTTAGAATATTGTGTTGGGAAAGCTGGTTTATTCATGCTCTTGCCCACTTGTGGATGTGTGCTTGTTTTTGAGAGAGACACAGGTTAGCTTGAGGCAGAGAGACCCACCCAGTTCGCAAAAGAACTTGACAGAACTTGCCCACTGATGAACCAGTCAGTTTGGTTTTAGACCACAGTGCTGTAGTTTTAAAATCTTGCATCATATTAGATAATGTAATGTAATCTTACTTTGTTTTTTGGTTCTTGCTCCTTTTCTTGGCTGAAATGAGAACTGAAAAAAAAAAAAAACTAAATATCTGCCTAACTGCGGGTTATCACGCACCCAACAGCACATAACATTTCCATACATTAGGACTAAGTACACCATCATTTGCAGAGAGATTTGGTTAAGGATGGACTTGTCCCTACCAATTTTAGGCAAGTCAGACATGTGTCATACTGGTAAGATAAATTAGAAGTGAAAAGCAGAAGAAAATTACATTTACATTAAGTGCCTGTGTAAAGACAAATCTGGGAACAAGACTAGGTGAGGATTTAAAGAGTAGAAAACATTCTTTGTCCCCAGATGTTCTTGTGAAACCAAATGCCACCTTAAAATACCAGGCGATGCATTATTTTTTTCACAGATAAAAACAGAAAATGATGGAAAATTTACTCATTCTTTCAAACTGAGGGATTATTTGTAGGGCATCCTCATGGGAAAATGGGTTCAAAATAACAAGTAATATAACAATATAGCGAGTGTTTATACCAGGGGGCGCTGTTGATTCAGTTATCAGATAAAAAATAAGTTACCCTTTAGAACAGGGGTGTCAAACTCAGTTCCTGGAGGGCCGGAGCCCTGCAGAGTTTAGATTCAACCCTAATTAAACACACCTGATCCAACTAATCAAGTCCTTCAGGCTTGCTTGAAAACTACATGGTATGTGTGTTGGAGCAGGGTTGGAACAAAACTCTGCAGGGCTCCGGCCCTCTAGGAACTGAGTTTGACACCCCTGCTTTAGAAAAAGAAAAAATATTACCTACACTCCAAGCTATTTAAGCATAGACCAGGGGCGGCGAACGTCGGTCCTGGAGAGCCGCAGCCCTGCAGAGTTTTGCTTCAACCCTAATCAAACACACCTGAACAAGCTAATCAAGGTCTGAACGGTTACTAGGAAGCTACAGGCAGGTGAGTTTTAATTAGGGCTGCGGCTCTCCAGGACCGGAGTTCGCCACCCCTGGCATAGACTAAGCATAAAAAGTGGATTTTTTTTTTTGTAGCTGATGTTTTTCTTGGCCATGTAACATGTTGCCTCAAGGGGTATGATAAGCTTTACACTGTTTGTATTGTCTCAGTAACTAACAAATGTTCACTCCTCCATTTTACAGCCCAGTCATTATGGAAAAAGGCCTTTTAATTATAAAACAGTTATATAGTCTAAACCAGGGCTGGCCCGTCCTGTTCCTGGAGATCTATCTTTTTGCAAAGTTCAGCTCTAACCCGGTTCAAACACAACTTAACCAACTAATTAAGATCTTCAGGAGCACTTGATCATTACAGACAGGTGTGTCAGATCCGGGCTGCAGCTGAACTCAGGTAGAACAGGACTGGGCAATCCTGCTCTAAACAATAACATAAAATCACTACGAAACTAAGTTTGGGTTGCTTTTCCAATCCAGTCCTCAAAGAGTAGAAAATGTGTACTTATTTGTTAAATAGAGTTCCTGCCAATAAATATGCTATAGTTATTCTCTCATAAAGATGTATAACGAACAAATTAACTTTATAGCATTTATTCATATTTGATATATATTGTATATTTAATGAACCAGACTCCTTCCTCTCATTGCAATGCAAAAACACTAATAAATGTATCGTCTGATGCTTCTGATAACATTCAGCTTCTGATAACATTCAGCTTCTGAAATGCAAGCAGCACCTTCAGGCAGCAGCCTGGGGCAACACGCTTTCAATCACTCTGCATTCTGATCTTATCTGCAACACTTTCAGATATCTCAGTATATACGTTATCACAATAAGTGTTTTAGTAAACAGAAATCTTCAGAATTTCCCGTGAGAATTTTCCAGAAACGCTCTGTGTTCTTTAGCTAACCCCTGTTTGACTGAACAAACAAACCAGGTAACGTTTTACACAAAACTGTGAGTCACTGTGGAAAACTGTTTGCCAACACATTTTCCATGGCTTTTATTTTCCGTATTGAAACTTGGAATCTTGAAGAGATGACGCTGTCTCAGCAACCGCTAGGTTGGTCACCAAAGGACTGTTTGTTCTGAACAGTATCAAGCAGCTTTCTGTGTGTCAAAGTCTCTGTAACCTCCACCCACCCTACAGCCTGCTCTAAAGAAGATCAAATGATCTTGAAAACAGGTTCAGCAGGGATTTATGAAAGGCATTTCACAGAAAACAGGGATGAACATCATAATTAGCTGAACTGTCACAAAGTCAGGTTAATGCTTGCCCAGATCAAAAATAAGCCTGAAGCACACCTGAATCATCATGCATGTTGGAGAAGGAGAAATGATGTGTTTATTTATCTCAGTTAGTAGTAACTCATTGTGTAGCAAAGTGGTGGATGAAAGAGTTTAATGATTCAGACAATTAGCCTCTTCACCTTGATTGCCTTTAACCCACTCGAATGGTTTGCTTTAACTGCTTCATGTTTCAGAACCCTGTTAGTGAACTGTGACTGGAATTCTTGACTATACAATATGGAGCATTTGCTGTATGATATGTGTATGTTTTCACTGTGTAAACTTGAATGTGTATTTGTGTGTAGACAGGGGGTTAGTGTAGCTGTAGGTTGGGAGAAAAATTGTTTCCAGAATGAAAAAGTCAGATTACAAAAAAAAAAGAAATGTCCTCAGAGATAAAAATGATTTCTAAATATAGGTAAATAAGGTTTTGGTCTATTTAGTGGTTAGTCTGTAATTGTTATTTAAAAAACTAGAAACTACTGCACCAGAATCCCTGATGTAATAATGAAATGCTGTCATATAGAGATCCAGATAA